AAAGGTATTTTAAAGCACGGTCGAAATTAAGTTTACTAGAAATTAATATTTTAAATAACTAATAAGGGTTAAATCTTAACCGTCAAATAAAATAATTTAAAAAAATAAAAGACATTAGGTTCCATTACAAATGGGTTTTTCTTAAAGAAAATAATATTTTGTTTTGTTTATGATCTTTTTTTTGGATTTTTGTTTTTGAATTTTTTTTTTTTTTTTGGATTTTTGTCTTAGAAAAATAATATTTTCTTAACAATATCTCGTCAGGGAGTGCTGTTTATTTTTCAGATTTTTACTTTTTTAATTTTTTTTCGTAAAGAATTTTAAATTTCTAACGGTATATTTTGAAGTGTTTAATGTTACTGTTTTCAATAAAATATATAGTTTACATTAATAATATCATTTATGGTTCACATTATCATCTTTGTTTACTTTTTTGATATATTTAAGTAAAAAAACATTTTTTTGTTGAAATTATGGAATTGTTAATCAGATTTTGAATATTTTCTTAAAGTTCTGAATTTTTTTTTTTTTTTCGAAATCCGAAATTTCAATCTGGAATTCAAAATGTTTGTCCGAAATTCTGTTCGAAATATATTTTCTTGCCAGAAAAAACATTTTTACTTGTCTAGAATTCCAATTATTTTTGCTAAAAAAAATTAATTAATTTTTTCAAATACATGGTTAGATTACGTAAGTTCCCTAAAAAAATCTACTTATAATATTGGGTGCATCAAGGTAACTGGAAAGTAGTGGCTGACACTCACCGACTCACTTGGCCCATTTCCTTCAACCATGAAAACCACCACCACCGAACCCTTTACTGACCTTGAGCATTCACCAAACCACTACACTCCGCTACTAAACCACACCGAACTACCACAAGGCTTCGTGAGAAAACAGTCGTTCGTCAGGGTGCTCTCCAGTATCACTTTGGTCTCTCTGTTCTTTGTTTTAGCTTTTGTACTCATCGTCCTGAACCAACAAAATTCCACCAACACCACCGCTGCTAATTCAGCCCCGCCGGAGGAAAAATCTTCCCGACGATACTCTCCGTCCGATCGCCTGACATGGGAAAGAACAGCTTACCATTTTCAGCCACAAAAAAATTTCATCTACGGTACGTTACAATTTCTAGAATTTTCCCATCTAACTCTCTACTTATTGTCAAATGTCGATTTAAAATAACTATTCATGGAAACTTCTAGTCGTAATTTGCATTTTTTTTTCTTGGATTATTTCATGATTCTCGATGGTTTTGCTGTGTGGATTCTCTGCTTCAGATCCCAATGGTACGTCGTTCTTTCGTAAACATTTTTAATATATTCATGGGTTAAATGTAAAATATAATATCTTTTGTTTATGTTTATAAGAGTGAAACTAATTTATATATTAACGGTTTAAAATACAACAATTTATGATGCTAATCTTGATTATTTGTTTATTTATATATTAATTTTCCCTAATTAGAAGATATGACGACTTCCTTAATAGTGATGGTTTGTAATTTTGTATTTTTTCAATTTTAGGGCCATTATTCCACATGGGTTGGTACCATCTTTTCTATCAATACAATCCGTACGCTCCAATATGGGGCAATATGTCATGGGGTCACGCCGTGACCAAAGACATGATCAACTGGTTCGAGCTTCCCGTTGCCTTGACCCCATCCGAATGGTATGACTTCGAGGGCGTCTTGTCGGGGTCCACAACTGCCCTCCCCAATGGTCAAATCTTTGCATTGTACACAGGAAATGCAAACGATTTCTCGCAACTACAATGCAAAGCTGTTCCTGTAAATAAGTCCGACCCACTCCTTGTGGAGTGGGTCAAATACAATGATAATCCAATCCTATACACCCCACCAGGGATTGGGTTAAAAGACTATCGGGACCCATCTACAGTCTGGACAGGTCCCGATGGGAAACATCGGATGATCATGGGCACTAAGATAAATCGTACCGGACTCGTACTTGTTTACCATACAACCGATTTCGTAAACTACGTGATGTTGGACGAGCCGTTACATTCGGTTCCCAATACTGATATGTGGGAATGTGTTGACTTTTATCCTGTGTCAACAATCAATGATAGCGCGCTTGATATCGCGGCATATGGCAGCGATATCAAGCACGTGATAAAAGAAAGTTGGGAGGGACATGGGATGGATTGGTATTCAATTGGGACATATGATGCTATGAAGGATAAGTGGACCCCGGATAATCCGGAATTGGACGTGGGTATCGGGTTACGGGTCGATTACGGGAGGTTTTTTGCATCGAAGAGTCTTTATGACCCGTTGAAGAAACGGAGGGTCACCTGGGGTTATGTTGCAGAATCGGACAGTGCAGATCAGGACCTTAATAGAGGATGGGCTACTATTTACGTACGTTTTATTTTTTCATATTTGATTTATTTTAACGTGACATAATAAGATATAATAACATGGTGTTTATTTTAATATTTTGTAAAATGGTGTTTATTCTAATATTTTGTTCTTTTAATAGAACGTTGCAAGAACTGTAGTGCTAGATAGAAAAACCGGAACCCATCTACTTCATTGGCCCGTTGAGGAAATCGAGACGTTGAGATCCGATGTTCATGAATTTAAAGAGATTTGGCTCGAACCGGGTTCGATCGTTCCACTTGATATTGGTCAGGCTACACAGGTAGAACAAAAAAAATGTCAATGTTGTTATTATTCTGTGAATATATGTAATATAAAAGCCAAAGTTTGTAAATATCATATATTAAAATTCGAAAAATAATAATGTAACAGTTAGACATAGTTGCGACATTTGAGGTGGATCGAGAGTCATTAAGCCTGACAAGTGACACAAACGGTGAATATGGTTGCACCACGAGCTCGGGTGCAACCGATAGGGGAATTTTGGGACCATTTGGGATTGCGGTTCTTGCTGACGAGGCACGTTCAGAATTAACACCGGTTTATTTCTACATTGCAAAAAGTAATGATGGTGGTGTCACAACGCATTTTTGTACCGATAAGCTAAGGTAATAAAAACATTAATTTTACGAAAAACCATTATATATATAATGTTGAAATTAAGTAAGTTTTTTGGTCTAATTTATATAATTCAGGTCATCACTGGATTATGATGGAGAGAGAGTGGTATATGGGAGCAGTGTCCCTGTTCTTGATGGTGAAGAACTCACAATGAGGTTACTGGTATGTGTAGCTATATATGTATATATATGATATATCATTTTTTTTTTTTTGTTAGTAGCTAGATTGTTATTGTAGTTCTAATATGGATTTTCTTTTTGTTAGTTATGTTTTGTTTAATAATATTTGTTGTTATGTTTTATAATAAAAATCAGGTGGATCATTCTGTAGTGGAGGGGTTTGCAATGGGAGGAAGGATAGTAATGACATCAAGAGTGTATCCCACAAAGGCAATATACGATGGAGCAAAGATCTTCTTGTTCAACAATGCAACTGGAGCAAGTGTGAAGGCATCTCTCAAGATCTGGCAAATGGGTTATGCACGAGTTCAACCTTACCCTTTTTAATTATTTATCCAACTCTTTTATTATGTTATGTAGTTGTGTATTTCATTTTCTTTTTAGGTAAATAAAAAACCAAACCGTGTTATGTTGATGATTTTTGGTTGGTTTGCAATTATATTTATTACAAAATTGTTGTTTTATATCATCTATAAAACATATAAATTTGATGATAATAAAAAATGAGTTTGTTCTGCTTTGAAGCTATGTAGTAGTTTCATTAATTCCATGAAGGCCTCAAGGGATATAAGGTAACTTAGAGCATCTTATCAGAAGCTTTTTTTATAATGTATTGCTTTTTTATAATGTATTATTAATAGATAGCTTAATTTTTGGTCATTAAATTATTTTTTGTGTTTTATTAACCATTGAACTTGTTGAAACGTGTACATTATACCAATATGACTGGTAATAGTGGATTTTCCCGGTTTTCGACGTTATTTCCGGTAAAAAATGAGTTTTCCGGTCATCTTCTCCGGTCAAACTTGGTTTTTCGGCGGTGTTTCCGACGATATCTCCGACATATAGCCCCTCTCCGTCACCGACTACACCATCTCCCTTCTTCGGTCGATATGTTTCCTTCCAATATCTACAAGGATTGATTCGATGAAGTTGTACTATCGGGAGCTTTGAACAGTCGTCAGGATCCGATGGGACATCGTGAGGTTTCTATAGTTTCTGATCTCATCTGGGATTTCTCCGGTAAGGTCGTCGTTTCCTTCTTCTCTCAAAATCGATTGCAAACACCAAGCTCTGAACTAGGAAACATAACTTGACCCAAATGTTTGTAAGAAACAATACAATCCACGCCATGAATGGCAAATTAGGGTTATCGTTAAAGAATCAGGGCTACGTTCTCCAACAAAAGATTGATATCACTGTTGGATCCTCTGGTTCCATTCGTCTGATAAAGAATGCAATATTTTTGGGTTATAGAAATGAGATTGGTTTACTCAAAGGGTATAGGAGGGATTGGAATTTACCAGGGAAGATCTTAGGGTTCTTATCGACAAGTTGTGTGAAGAAGAAAGTGAAGTTGAAGGAGGAAAGGTGTACAATCGGAAATGGTTTTTCAAGACACTATCAACATTTATTGTAGTTGTTGTAATTTTGCTGGAGAGATCTTTGGGTTGTTCGGGGATTAAAGAGATGAAAGTTTCTAGTTATGCATTAGGAGGTGTTATTGCTTTTATTTGTTGATTTGATTTGAATGCAAATCCAAGGTTTTACAATGCTGGTAAATCAAGTTTGACCGGAGAAGAGACCGAAAAAGTTATATTTGACTGGAAACAGAAACCAACAAAACCAACTATTACCGATCGTACTTGTATAATACACATAAAGCACGAAAAATAATTTAGTGACAAATACTACCAAAAGATTATCCCTTTTGTCTTTTTTATTGAATGTACTCCGATGCTTATAAACAAAACAAAGCCCGTTAAAATGACATAAAAACTTGTTTTCTTCCCGCCATGGTATCCCTGTGTCCAACAACCCTATCATCCCCTTTCCACTCCAAAACCCTAAAACTCAATTCATATCCGCAAAACGCTAACCACAGACCATTTAGTCTTCTCCCTCTCTCCGCTGTCGCTTCGAGGTCTGGCTATGAAACCGAAAGGGGTTTCGATTTTGAAATCGGAGACACCTTCTTCAGGCACGAAAGTGCTACCGGCCGGGATCTCGGTGTTCTCGCTGCTGCTCTATATAAGAAGAAAAACGATAACCTACGAGTTCTTGATGCAATGTGCGGTTGTGGAATTCGATCCCTGCGTTACTTATCTGAAGCCAAAGCGGATTTCGTGTTGGCCAACGACGCAAATGAAGATTGCAACGGTGTTATAGTATCGAATTTATCGACTGTTTCGAGTGAGGAGGAGGGGAGGTGGAAGGTGATTCATTCAGTTGCGAATCGAGTTTTGGCGGAGAGATATGTGGAGAGGGATTATTTCGATTTCATTGATGTTGATTCGTTTGGGAGTGATTCCAGTTTCTTCAGGTGTGCATTTGATGTTGTTAAGCTTGGTGGATTGCTTTACGTTACATCAACCGACGGGTTCTCTTCCGGTGGCCATCGTCCTAATCAGTGAGTTTCTACCTTATAACAATACCTGATCTTTGAGAATATCATTGTATTAAGTTCGTTTTGTATTACTATGGTTTAGTTCTTTAGCTGCTTATGGAGCGTATATTAGGCCATTGCCATACTCAAATGAAATCGGGTTGCGGATGCTAATAGGAGGAGCAGTGCGGGAGGCTTCTGTTTTGGGTTATCATGTGACGCCACTTTTCTCATATTACTCATACCATGGGCCTGTCTTCAGAGTTTTGCTACGTGTAAACCGAGGAAATTCACCCCATGGCATGTACTACTACTACTACTACTACAACTACTACTTGTTACAGTAATTTCTGTAAGTGCAATTGTGTTTCTACAACATAGCTTATCTCTAATATTTTTGTGTAACACTAACGTCTAACAGGCATTATGGGTTTATCTGCTACTGTGATTGTTGTGGAAACTCTCAAGCTATTTCATGGGACAAGCTTGGTCAGATAAAGTGTCCTTGTGGATCAGATGTATGTATGATTTCATCTTTTTCTTGTTTTTTAGTTTGTTATGATGTGGGTTAAATTAAATGTATCTGAAGATGTTACAACTTACAGGTCCCTGATTCACTGGTTGTTTGCGGGCCACTTTGGACAGGGCCTCTTCATTGTGCAGAGTATCTTGCAGAAATGCTTAGTTTGGCAGGAGAATGGGGATGGGTGGGCAATGACACCATAAATGATCTTGATAAGCTGTTGAAACGGATGATTGATGAAAGTAATCCCGATTTATCATTTGGTTTCATCAAACTTGATGAGGTAGTAGGTTCATACTTCTTCATACTGTTATTTTTCATCTTTCCTTGTGATATTATGTTTTGTGATGGATGTATGTATGTAACAGATAGCAAGTCGTGCTAAGGTCAATTCTCCTCCTATTGTGACAGTAATGAATGCCATTCACCAGGTTATTATCTTTGCTATGTCAATATATGAAGTTTTGATATTGCTATGGCTTATACTTTATACTTTATATTGTAGGAGGGATATGGTGTTAGTAGATCCCCACATTTCCAATAATGCAATCAAGACAAATTGTCCCATGTCAGAGTGTATTAGGATCGTGAAGGGACTAACAGCAACAGTTGTGAGTTTTTTACTAAAGATGGACAACCTGAATCTTGGTGGTTGTAGAGAAACAGACATTGATTGGGAATGGTTACTTTGATCAGAATATACAAGAATATGATATAGAGTCGATGTTGCTTTCTTTCTCTATGGCCAATGGTCAATGGTGATGAATTGAACCCTAGGATGATTTTGTAACCAACAACCAACAAACATAAACCAGTATCAACTGTCATCAACTCTTAGTTTTTTTGAGCGAACAGAAACTAGAAGGGGAGGTTACAATTACAAGAAGCAAAAAGCAAAAAGCAAAAAGCAAAATGCAAAACAACAAGACATAGGTTTATACATGTTTTGCAAATTTGCATACATACACAAAGGCCAAGTCCCAAGGAAAAATGGGACTTTACTTATTACATGCATGTCCAAATGAAGCATACACCTGCCATCGTGTGTGTGTGTGTAGTAGGTAAGGTGTCAAAACTCTTCCTTTTAAGGGCATTCTTTCTCATACACTTGGCTTGCATACTTCCAGTTGATGACTTTCCAAATATTCTTCAAATAATTGGGTCTTACATTTTTGTACTGCATCATTCAAACATAAGAGAATTTTATTGGCTACATAAGATAAGATACACAGACAGACCATGAAAATTTTATATAATGATTAACTAACTACCTGTAAGTAGTATGCATGCTCCCAAACGTCTATGCCAAGCAGAGGAACCAAAGTTGCACCTTTTGTAACCAAGGGGTCCTGCACCACAAGTCACAACCAGATACATACTTAATAATCTAATCTATCAACTAGTTCTATTATTATTTATGTATAAATTTTTTAGATAATTTATTCAGTAAAAGGCTCAACAAGATTTGTCATGATAACTTATGTGAACTGCATGTATACCTGGTTTGCAGTTGTCTCAACCACAAGCCTTTTCAACTCCTTGTCCACTGCAAGCCACTGCCAGTAGTAGTCATATTATATCACAATTTTAAAAAAGTAAACATATCAATGCAAGAGATGATAATAACAATAATAATAATATCCCAAGATGATTTGATTGATTGATAACATACCACCCATCCAGAGCCCTGCACAGCAGCACCTTCAGCATTCATCTTGGCAATCAACTTTTCCATGGAACCAAAGTGTTGGTCGATAGCCCACCCCAAAGAACCATGTGGTGCCTCACCACCACCTTCCTGCAAACAAAGACAAAATTCAGGCTTTCACTCAGAATCATCCTTCAACTATCAGGAAACAGACTTACACTTGTAGGAGCAAGATTCTTCCAAAAAATTGAGTGGTTCACATGACCTGATTACACAAACAAAAAGGGGATGATTCAATCTAGGACAGCCAGAAAACGCAATAAGTTCAACTACAATATTCTATTTGACGTTCTTGTTCTCAAGTACGGTGTGGGTAGCAACTTTTAGAACTTGGAATCCATATTATCAAGTTAGGGATCAATATGCAGTTTCCTATTTTAGAACAATTCACTGTAAGAAGTTGTTGAATTGGTTCGACGGAAACTACCGACAAAAAGATATAAGTATCTGTACTTGAAATACGATAATTGGATGGAGAAAAGGATAAGAATCGAACCTCCGCCATTGAACTTAATGGCGCTCTGCAATTTGACGGCAGTGGATGCATCACCCTTAGCGATGGCGTCATCAAGCTGCTCGAGAGCCTTATTGTAGTTGGTAATGTAAGCCTGGTGGTGTTTTTGGTGATGGAGCTGCATAATCTCTCCGCTAATCACCGGCTCCAGAGCGCCATAATCGTAGGCGAGATCCGGAAGCGTAAACGTCTGCAGTCCACGAATCTGTTGCTGAAACCTGGAGAATCGACCTAGGGTTTTCCCACTACTGACTAGTGTTCGAAGAGCCATTTGTTCTGCGAATCAATTGAATCGATAGAAATCCAAGTACACAAAGACTTATATTTGGCAGCGAAATGGTTCCAAGTTTCCAAATGGAATCTGTGTGCACCGTACTAATCTATATACTTCCCTGCGCAGTGCGCACGACACTATACTTCTCTTAGTTTATAGTTTTGACCCCTAGTTTTTCAAATATCATTTTATTTATTATATTTTTATATTATATATTGTAACCTAACCTTCTCTAGAAAATAGAAATACAAGTCAAAATCTCCAAATCAACTTAAGTCTAAAAGAAAATCTTATAACCTAGTGTTTACCTCACACGATCTTCTCCCACCTCCCTTTCTCCCCTCTCAACATTTCCTCATGAGTCTTCTTCTTCCTCACCATTATGTTCTTAACATCACCAGAAAGCACTTATTAGCTCCGCTATGTATCTCTTTATTCGTATCCCCTCTTACCAGACAACAAAATTCTTGACGATTGTTTCCTCTTAACTTGAATTTATACTTTCAAAACAAAAGAACACTTTAACAAAAAGTTTAGAGTCATCCCTATTCATATGTGAACCACATATGCATTAGGGTAGACTCGAAACTTTTTGTTAGGTGTTATTGTGTTATTATTTTAGAAGTGCAAAATCGAGTTAAACTTATGAAAGGACGGAGCTTCAACATTTGATTTGAGGGGGGGAGGGGGGCACAGGTAGGGGTGTAAGTGAGACAAGCCAACTCGCGAG